GAGATGGGTCATTTCTTGCGGATCTAAAAGCTTGTTTGATATGCGATTCTGGATGTATTACTCAGAAAGGACTGATACACAATTTAATTTACGTTACAGCTTTTAATTGAAATCAAATATACAGAAACTGACAAAATTGGCTACTCTCGATTTATATCCAGATTAGGTGAAAGCAAGATGATGTCCAGAGAACATAATGACTGAGAGGGGAGAATTAAAAAAAAAAAAAAAATACAGTCACTTTTATTATTTCAGTGTCGATGTATTTAGCACGAAAGTATACTTGGTAGGGGACACTATTTTTGCGTCTCCTACTCACTGGAAACGGGACTGCATTTTATACGAGTTCATCCGAGGGCAAGCGAAGGTCTAGCCGTTTGCAGCTAGGACAAAGGCACTGACCTATTTAAAGACCCTTAGAACTGGTCCGGCCCAAAGGAATCGAACCCAAACGGCCTCCCGTTCTGCTGTCAAACTTTTTTCTACCGACTGAGCTAATCCTGACGCAGTTTATTCTCGTCCTCTGCACTCAGTGTCCTCCAGTCTTACAATAGCGCTTTTTGCTGCTGACACCAACAAAACTGTTACACTTGATATTTAACTGAAATACCTCTTCAAGTCTTGGATTTGTTGTTGTTGTTGTTATTTTTCTTTGTGCCTGAATTAACATTGAATGAAAATGTTGAATATGGTATCAGTAAATCAAGAAAGTTCAGGAACTCTTCCGGCAGCAGCAACAAATAAACATGCATTTCTCTCTCTACTAATAGGCAATTTGGTAATTGTGGTTTGATTAATTGTGGTACTTCTTTTGTTTTGTTCGAAAAAGTATTACTGGAATAGCTTTTTCGAGGATGGTAGACGTTTTAGATACTTTCGTTTGCTGCAATTCGAACAATGACCTCTACGATACTGGTGCAGAGCTCTTCGCAGGCATACGTTGCGTCTTTAACAGGAACAATCTTGCATTTTTTTCCTCATTCCGGGGTTCCAATATAGGAAATTCATGTATTTGTCATTTCATCTTCATCTTTCCCGGGTATAGTACGAACAAATTTAATGATCAGCTCCCAGTTACGTGGCTTGCCGAAGCAAAATGGTTAGAGCCCTGCCTCGGTATCGCAATCTGGGTTAATCCGGGCAAGCCCCCGATTTTTTTCAGGCTTTTTTTTTCGCAACTTCATAAGTTGAGACTGTAACTGTGCATTTGTTATATCTATGCAACTGGCCTTAGATCAGCACCTAGTCGTAACGGAAGAGGCGTCATTTTATATGAACATGGGTCCAGTGTAAAAATTTGACAAACTACTCTCACCTCACCCGCTGCTCCTGAATAAGTTTGAATACATCCTGGTCGTCATCAATTCTTGCGTCTCACCTGGAGCCCATCAATGCGTTAGAATTAAGTAAATATTGGGAGTTGAACCACAAATTGACGATAAAGTTTTTAAAAGTTTTGCTTCGTTCATTATTTGAGGCATATTGTCGGTCTCTGCGAAGTCAGAGGAAACTGCTTTTATTAGTTTTTTCCTTCAAAAAAACACAATATTATTGCAAAAATATACATAAACTGTTATTTTCTTAAAATGCATGCATAAATTATGCATGTTTTTCTACAGAGGGTAAAATGGTATTTTCTTCTTTTTCAAAACGTTATTTTATATTTTTGCCTTTCAAAAGGGATACAACAATAATTAATAGCTTCAGTCTATAACACTGTAAAAACCTGCTGAGGAATTATCGATCCATTTCAATATGGTGAATTTCCCACAATTTCCAAATTTACTTGACGCTTTACTTAATGCTCGTTTCAGTCAAACGCTTTTAGCTTTCAAAGTTGTTATAAACAGCAGCTGGAAACGTTTTAAAGTTCCTGTTGATAAAACAGAATTTTTGCTTCAGCTTCAAGCTTTCCCTACTGCTAAAACTCAGGATCAACATTCCTACTGCTGTATGATCTTTCAGGTATTTAAGACTTAAAAACTATTTTCCATGACACGAAAGGAATATCTTACTTTACTTTTTCTTTGTTTGTTTGTTTTTTCCTTTTTTTATTCCATGAATCTCCGTCTTACATTAATTATAAGACTGAGAAGAAAGGAAGAGTTGCTGCCGGTAAAAGTTGATCAGAGCTCATGATTGTAGTACAGTTTAAGGCCAATGGTTTATGCTAAACTTTAAAAGCAAGGTACAATATAGGCATATAGCCTTTATATAAAAAGAAAATACAAAAAAATTAGGGGGAAAAATGTAAGTTATATCGAGTTATGTTACTTATAAACAGTAGACCTCAACCTGATTGTAGTGTCAATGCCGTGTTCTTTAGTACTGCGCGCCAGCCCGGGTAAATATCCTACACGAGCAAATATACAGAAGAATCTCGCGCGCGCACTTCTCCGGAAAGTGGGAATATGCACATGTAGTTGTTCAATTCTATATCCTCGGTTTCAATTTATTTTATTCTATTTTTTTGAATGTTGTACTGAGTTAAGGGTTGAGACTGTCGCGTAATTTCTGCGTGCGAACGCACGTAAAATTTACGCGCGTGAATGACATAGAAGTAATGTATGAAAGGCCACGCGTAAAACGTGAAAGTTGAGCGAGGTTCAACTTTTACGTTTACGCGTGACCTTTCATACACTGTCTTTACGCCCGTAAAATTTAAGTGAGTACGCACGTAAAAATTATGCGACAGTGGAAATCCGCCTTTAACCGAGTCAGTGCCTTACCGGCAAAATCACCGACATGCTGGCTGTAAAGAAAAAGAGAAGTTCAAATACCCAACTATAGCTAGGCGCAGTATAACATAAAGATTTCCGTCTTTGTACACTCATCTTGTGGGTTCATTCATTCGGCTTTATCTCCGCCGATCTCTCGTGTCTGGTCTTTTTCCATCCCGAGAAGAGAGCAAGAACAAGAAGTCTCTAAACCTTTGAATATTTAAACTAAGCTGAGTGCTCTGCATTGCAAAGCGACTATTTTATTTGAACAACAACGGTCCCAGCCGCAAAAAGTTTAGAAATATATATTTTTTTCAAATACCAACATAAGCAAGACTGAATATTAAGATTTAAAAAAGTTTAATCACATTGTAAATTAATGTAAATTTAAAAAACTCTGACTATTTTTATAGAACATCGCTGAAGAGAAAAGATGTCATCAATGCGTGAAAAAAAAAACTGAAAATGGTGCGTTACACGCCATTAATACACTTCGGTTAGCCAATCAGCTCTTAGAATCTTGCTCAGAATTATAAGACAATGAATTGCAAATAAAAGGACAAAAAAAAAAAGAAATCAAAGCAGGGGTAAAATTGCACCACATCAAGCATTATCAAAAAGGAAAAGCTGAAGACCGAGATGTTCGAAAAGAACGGGTGAAAACTAAGCGAAAACCAGCACAATTGACCCGAAACAGGTGCTGATTTTTATTTCTAGCGGACGGACTGTTATTTCATAATTCGTCTTTTTGCATTTTTTTGTATGTCATTTTAAGAATACACGTTGCCAGGGATACCATTACTAAATTAAAAAGGTTGTAATTTTATTCATCGCCCCTTTCTTGTTTTCTTTAAAATTAATAATCATGGACCGAAGCAGTTCCTTTCTGTTTTACTATGTCTATTCCAATAGTTTTCTTTTAAACTGAATAAAGCGACTTCTTGTATAGTGCAACTGATGGTATATGCCGTGGTCTTCGCGCCAATTAGAGGTGTCATTAAATGTAGCCAGGGGATCATTTGAAAAGAAAATTATCTAAATTCATAAATATTTGATGTCCGCCTTTCAGACGTTAAATGACTTGAGGGAATGAACAATGATGTCTATAAAATGCGAAAATTTAAAAATTGTTCGAACATTATTTTTACCCACTTAGTCAAACGGAAAACAGCGGTTGGCTAGAACGCATACGGAAATACGGAGATCTTGGTGAAAATTTTCCGTCGAACTCAAATGGTAGTTTTTTTTTGGTACGAGAAAAAGCAAAGGGATTGAGTTGTACCAACCATAAGATGCCTCTAAATTTTCCATTTTCTTCTTAGCGGGAAGCCTGGCACTGGTTATCCACACAAATGGTTCAGAAATTTTCCTTCGTTTCTGTAAAAGCGGGGGAAAAGAAATACCAAATGGAATGGTTCATCCAGGCGGAATGTGTGCTATGCAGGATATTTGCATATAAGTTTCGACAATCAATTGCAATGCGTCTTTGCTCACTGCTCGGCACTTTTGCCACTGCGCTTTGTTAAATTGAAATCAATCAGTCGCTCGCTAGTTTCCCGACAACCAAGCGAAAGTAGCACGTAACAGAGCGAACCTTGACTTTGTCACTAGTGTTTTCTCTCCATTTGGGCTTACAGATTATGATTAAAGTTATAATATAACCGGATTTTCCTCCTGTTGTTGACAGCGGTAATTTTATCTTATTTATATATCCTTAGTACTTCATTGCAGAGTATTATTCAGGCGCACCCGACGACTGTTTTCTGTAAAATATCTGTTCGGAGGAGCAAATATTGCCTAAAATTTTCTTTTGCTTGAGGACGGCTAAAAATTTCTAGATGAACGTTCCATTCATGTACAATTTTCCAAGCTTTTCTAAAAAATTCCCTACGATTTTCAGAAGTTTAATTTTTAATATTTTACTATCCAGGTTACACTATTTTTCTTAGAAAAACGAAACCTACAATTTTCGGATTCTAAAATGTGATGGAGAGAGGAATCAGAAAAATTCTTACTTTCGTAAAACGTTAAATTACACCTAAAATTTTCGGAAAAAAAAATAGTGAAGCCCTTGTAATTTAAGTTCCCATAGGATGACCGAACAGATAAAAATTTTGTAGCGCCGCTTAGAATGCATTTCTAGAGATCTAAAAGTACTCTGGATAGCCTAAAAAGTGTTTTCAACGTATTTTGAAGGAAACCGTCGTTGGGTGCCCCTGATTGTTTTCCTCGGAATTATTAAAAAAGGGAAAAAAGAATTAATAATTATTTTATTCAACAATTGCAACAGGGAAACTCATTGATTCTGCTTACCCTCCTCCCTCGCGGCCTTATGAACAACATCTTAACATCACGTTTTACTTAAACAGGAGGATGAAGTTTCTATTTGTGCTATCGCTGATGCTGTGTTACAGTTCAGCTCAGAGTGCTGATTCAAGTGAGTATATCGTACAGTCCAACCTATGTGCATGAGTGACTACCTTTCGTAATTAAGCGACCATCTAACCAAAACACCAAAACTTTCCCAGTGAAAGCCCTACAGTTGGAACCTCTAGTAAACCACCACCTCCTGTAAGCGACTGCGACCACTATTTGGGTCTGACGGACGGTTTAATGATTTCCATTGGTTTTAACCTCTTGCAAGCATTGTCTGATCTCTATTTTGGCAGTGTGAACTATGCTAATAGGAATATACGGAGAACTTTAGCAAAACAAGCTGTGTTCGGACATCTCCTTAAAGCGGCCATTGAGTCTGCATTTTTGTGCTCTCTTATGGGGGTTCGCATGCATTTTTATTGCGCAGAATATGTGACCCCTATTTTTCTCCTATCCGTCCACCCAATCAGTTGACATGGAGAAAACAGAAACTGGTCTTTAACTACCAAACATCTGGCGACTTTTCTTCTTTAAGTTTTTTTTGTGGCAATTTTCGTTATCCACCTATTGTGTTTAAAAACTCAATCACCCTAGGTCAGATTTGATTTCAGATAAATATCCTGTAAGTTTGCGACATTGCATTTTTAAACCAGGGGCAAAATAGTGGGATTTAGGAAATTCGTTTTAATTGGTAGAAAAAAGAACATGGAGGGCGACACCTCAAAGTTCTCTATTGATTAAGAGAACACAAGTTGACGTGTAGAATATACAATCTGATTTTGTAGGATGTGGTTCTGTGGTAAACAACAGCTTGACAAGTCCTGGATTTCCAAGAAAATACCCAAATAACATGCACTGTGTGTACAACGTTTCCATTCCATCAGGAAAGGCACTGAAGATCAATTTTTCAACTTTTGAACTGCAATTACATCCTCAATGCGAGTAAGTAATTTTTTTGACAATAGAGAGATTTAGAGTCACGTTAACTGTAAACGGCAAACGTGAGATTCAAGTTGAGAGTATCTCAAATAAAAAATAGCAGGTAAAAACAGCTCAAAGCAATTCTTATGGATAAATCTGGCGTGAAACAATTTATTTAACTTCTTTGTAGAAGCAATGAACAGTAAACGTCAAGAAAATAGAAAAATTGGTCACGTGGTACAGATTCACTTTTGCCATTTAAAGTTAACGTGACAGAGGGCTATTCTCATTGGTCGGTGCTTTTCCTGGCGGGATATACTTACCTGTCAGCCTGGGTTTTTAGAAGCCTGATTTTGCCCTATTTCTAGGCGTAATATCACAGATCCGCAAACTTGCAGCGTACAAGTCGAACTTCGGAATTTGTGGGTATGTTTTTACCAACAAAAATGTTAAGTTTTAGAGTAATAAGTATCACTTTAACTCAAGTTCCTAATCTACTCTTACCAAAGCCGAGTCAGTTAAGTGGTTTTCAATTGTTTGTCATCTAATTTTAAAATAAAGATAGACCTAGTTTTAGAAACTGATAACACGAAGAAGAATGTAAAACACACTGATACTCTTTAATTCTTTTAAGAATTAAAGAGTATCTGCCAGTAAATTAGCGGTCTGGTCGATATGGCGTGAAAAATAGATTTCGCTCATTTCTTGTGCGTTGAAAGACTTTCATGTAACTGTACTTAACGGCCCCAATCCGCTAGACTGTATTTTAAAAACTCGAATTTTTGAGACAATTTTGGTTCACCCCATCCAACGCTCGCGTTGCGCGGCTTAATTCAAGGCTGAAAATCAACAAAACTTTGAATGTTGATTTGGAAAGAAATAGTAATTATTAGATAAAAGAAATAACACAAAAAGCCATCATAATTCCTTTGACATAACACAGCGTTTTCTGCCAACATTGAGCACAATTTGACCCCATAGCAAGATTTTAACGATCCCCTTTCCGCACTGACAGATCAAGTGGAGACGAACCACCCCCCAAATGGGGTCCCAAATGTGTCATTTGCTCTCGGAGAAAAAATTGAAGCAGAGTAACATATATAGAAACCATGATATTTTGTGAAAGATTACTTCCGAAAAAAATATAATTTCTACGATTTCTTCGATTCTTTCTTCTCCTAAAATACTGCCTAAAAAGTGCATTCATTAGTTATTGACCAGGTGACAGCTTTTATTTCATTAGTATGGTATTTCTGTTGTTTCGGCGCAGACGGCTCTCTCTCGAAATGTTCCTAGCGGCAGAGAGCGATGGGAGTCATCTGTTTCGCAGCCTAATGAACAAAATTCAAACTATTATTTACAAAATCGAATGTTCGTTGCTGATGCCCGTAGATAGGCTCAAAAGGTGTAGAGACTTCTTACTGGCTAAACCGAGATCTGACCAATGATATGGTCTTTGATCTGGAAAATGCCATAGCTTTTTTTAAAATCCAAATTAAGATTTCACGCCTCAAGGCTTTTACGTGAGTTGAGATAAGTGAAATCCCTTTTACAGGCCTTAGTCATCTGTGAGTAGGTCGAAACAATAAGACATAAAAGCCTCTTGTTGAACGTTAATTGGCATTTGTAGACTGCGGTAATTCGACTGGTCGGGAGTGACTCAAGTGCAACATAAAATGAAAGAATTTGATCGGCGGCTTGATATTCCACAGAGACGTTTGGAGCTTCCTTAACTCCACCATAAAGCACCACTCGCAATTAGTTGAGGCGCGCAGTAGAACATAAAAGGCTTTTATGTTCTCTTGGCGGTTAGGGTTATTTCTAAGAATTTAACTGCCCTTGAAAAGTAAAAAACATATTTTTTCCCTTCTAGCTATGATTATTTGAGGATTGTAGATGATGACAACAGAACACTTGGTACATATTGTGGGAGCGAACTTAGTGGAAAGGTAGTTTTGGTAAATGGAAACTACGCATTAATAACATTCCACTCTGATGGTTTTGAACAACACGTGGGATTCCAGCTCACGATGTTATTTACTGAAAATCAAAATGGTATGTTCAAATAAGAAGGGAGTCTTTCATAAAAAGTAAATAAAATAAAATAAAATAAAGAATATAAGTGAGTTGCCATTCTGGTAAGATGTCAAAGTTGATGTTTAGAGGTCAAGGTGAGGTGCGTGGCATTTTTAAGAAAACTGATAAACAAACAATACAAGTAATATTGATAAAAAAGACCAAAATTAGAGGTAATTTCTGCCTTTTTTTTGCTGTTAAGCAAACTCTAAGTCTGGCTAGGAACACTATACAATCTTTCATTCGGGGTTATGCTGTAGTGCAGTATTTCTTAACGATCTCGCCAAAATCTGTTTTTAAAACTGTGCTCTCTAGATTAAGATCCTGATATCAGGGATTGAACAAGATGGTACCAGGGGCGGATCCAGGATTTTTTTTAGGAGGGGGTGCACTCGTCTCTTGCTCTACTTCAACACCAATAAACCACATAGTTTTTTTTGCAGAATATTAGTTGTATTAATAAACCGCAAGTCATCTCAGGGCGGGGGGCGCACCCCCTGCACCCTCCCCCTAGATCCGCCCCTGTTGTACTGAGATTTTACTGCATAGTACTGATATTTAAGACACGTTCGTTTGACCGTATTATACGTCTTTCTCCGAGAGAAAGTGAGAAAAATGCTCTTTCCAGATGAGCTCGTCTGATGTGCACGTGACTAATTTCAACAACAGGACTATTACAATAATTTTTCAAGAGTAGAATAAAAAATTCGTTATATTCTGCATTCTTTCAGTTGAACATCCCGTTTAAAGTTCGACATTATGACATGCATGCTGCTCAGTATATAGGATGGATATAACACTGGTGAAGAAATACGTAGCAAAACAGTACCCTGCCTCTGTAGACGATACTCTTGCCGTCCTATGATAACGACTGATCACATGTGCTTCCACAACAACTAGAACTCTGTTCTCCCACACTAACTCTTACGCTCCTACATTGATAAATATTCTTTCCTGTCCCAAATATACACGTACTAATGTTGCACGAGATAATTTGTTAAAGAAGAAATAAATTCACTTCAGTCTTAAACCCTCGGACTTTCACCCGTGGCACAAGAAGGTGCGGTTGCAACCCCTCTGGAGTTCTTGCTGTGTTGAACAGGTCAAGCGTACCCCTATAGATTCCATGAATTAATGAATCGATTTGTTTGAAAAATGAATTCGTTATACGATACGTAGAGTCGTTGCCGCAACCATGGGTCAATTTAGTAAAACTTTTACAAGTGTAATTTTTAAGTGTAGCCATTGTTTTAGGATCCGAAAACAATAACTACACTTGTAAATTACGCTTTTAAAAGTTTTATTAAATTGACCCCAGTATTTCAAATCTGCATTCTTTCACATATGTGTAATGAGCATTTGAGCAGTGATTTTTTTAACGATACCTCTCTGTATTCAGTCGGATTGAAAAATCTTTGAATGGATAAAACTGCTTTGAAGACATTTACATCAAATTCAAGAAACCTGAGTAGGTAGAAATTTCATTGTTCTGTATCGAGTGTGAATTCACTGCTCATTACGCATGCAGGAATGTAGATGAATCTGAAATCTACAACTACGAACGGATTCAACATTTGAATAATATATCAGGGGCACCCAACGACAATTTTCGGAGAAATATCTGTTCGGAAGACGATTTGAGATGTAGAATTTTCGGAACATTTGTTGTAAAATTTCTTGCTTGCCTTCCTCTCCTAGGATTTTCGGACATCTAAAAAATGGTATAATTGCCTATTGTTAACGGATTTTTTCCCTACAAAGGTCACCTAGAATTTTCGGGAGCCTTTTTTCTGGCTGAAATTTTCGAAAAGGTAAGTTTTGATCCCTATAATTTTCGGATTACTAGACTTTCAGCTAGGAAATCCGAACAGATGAAAAATTTTTAGGGGATAAAAATATGCCTATATCTACTGTTTAAATACTAAAATAGGTTTCACAATGCTATGTTTAAGTGGTTTTGAACTATATTCTCGTTGGGTGCCCCTTTAAAAGAGTCAACGTTTCTACAATTTCTAAGGCTAAATGGCAAAGCATTCCAAACCGTTGGTCCGTCATGGAAAAAGGCTCGATCGCCAAAAGTCTTCCGTGTCACCTTAGGGATTACAAGCAATGTTTCAGAATCAGACCGCAGGCTGTATCTAGTTCTAGGCTTTACAACAAGTAGTTCAGATAAATATTGTGGCGCAAGGCCGTTCAACGTTTTAAAAAAACTGAAAGTGCAATCTTAAATTCTACTCCAAATTTCACTGGCAACCAATGAAGTTCCCTAAGTACCGGAGTAATATGGGCAAACTTAGGAATTAAGCATGTAACCCGAGCCGCTGCATTAAGAAATTTTTGAAGTCGGTCATATTGATAATTTTGCGGAAGCTTATACAAAAGAGCGTTGCAATAATCTAAATGAGATGTAACAAACGCATGAATTAAACACTTCGTTGATTCTGCAGACAGATATTTCCTAATTTGCCTAATATTATAAAGCCCCCTAAATGCCTTACTACACACCTTTCCTATATGAGTATTCATAGACATATGGTTATCAAACCATGTGCCAAGATTTCTAACATGCTTAAGGGGTTGAATTTCACAGTCACCAACTTTAATTGAAGCCATGGTAACCTTAGATAATTGCTGCGACGAACCGATGATTAGAAAGTCTTTGAATCATTAAACATCAACCTGTGTGAGACTAACCAAGCCCTAACATCAGCTATGCAGTTCTCAATAGCCTTAATCGCTTGATCTTGAGCAGCAAACGAATCTGGACGAACATACACGTACAACTGAGCATCATCAGCGTACCCATGAACTGATGGAAGGTGCTTCTTAACAACCTCAAACAGCCTTGATGCATACAATAGAAAAAGGACAGGTCCCAAACAGCTCCCCTGAGGAACACCATAATTTAAATTGAAGGTCTTGGAGGACTGCTGATTAACAATTACACGTTGTACCCTTCCAGTCAGACGGAAAATTTCGGAAATTCCGGATGGAAGGTAAATGGTAAGGTCACTTTTCGGAAATTCCAACCGAAAATTGAGGAGTACGTTTAGAGGTAGTCCTTTCATTCCGGTTGGTACGAACCAAACGGAATGTTGCTTACCATTAACCAATTAACCAATATAGAAATACACTTTGATCATTCCAAGCAGTGGGTTTGCATGAGTGTCGATTTCCCGTGTGAGTTGGGCTGGTTGTTGTGTATCCCCGGGCCTTGCAAGAAATCACAAAAAATCATTGGAAGTTATCAATAACGCCTCTGGAAACTGTTTAGGTAGAGCTAACAAACATAGGCATCAGATGGCAAAATGTTTTCCAGTTAAAACTTTGTCATAAAGTGCTATACCATGGCACTTACACCATTTCTTTATCGAGCGCTTGATACATTGTCTTGACGCACAATTGATAGTCAGGAGAAGTCGTATTGTCTAAACCCATAGCAAAACACAAATTTACACACATCACAGAGGTAAGGTAAGGTAATACACGGTATTTCCTTCAGGTATATTTACATTCAAGTATAGAAATATAACTACCTAACTAAGCTAGAAATGAATCTAAGATAAAAACTAAAAGAATGAAAACTATGATAAAAAACTGCTTTACATTGAGGCCTTGTGTAAAGATACATATATCTAAATTAATGTAGCTTAATGTTTTTTAATTTTCCTTTACAAACATTATTGCCGCACCTTCAAAGACAAGCTGTTCCACAACACTCTTCCGTTATAAGAAAGGCTTCTTTTTTGAAAAAAATTCGGCGCGGGGTTGTGGAACGCCGAGCTTGTATTCATGCATTTTCTCTTAGGTTATAAGCGATTAAATCGCATCCAGCGACGAACAAAACGCGAAGCCGTCAGATATTCCAGAATTGTGTTATTTACAGTGTCGCGCATTATTATTGCTTAACTAACTAACTACTCGCTGATGGACAATAAGTTTCGGCCGCTTTAAATTTTGAAACAATTCACTGGTACTGTAGTCATAACTGGAGCGGAAAGTTAGCACGCGAGCAGGGCGATTCTGCTGTAGTCTCTGCAATGTAGAAGATATTACGGCAATGAGGCTCCCGAGGTCCGTTCCCGAAATCACAAGTACATGTAGGATGAAATGAATTCTGCGTGCAGACGTTTCCTTTTCCAGGTTAGGTTAAATAAACCGTACGAACGGTTTGTTTGACAAATTTCCCGCGAGACGGTTTTTTGGTGATTTTATTAATTTTTCCGATCCAATTTTTTTCATCTTTATTTTCGCGGCTTTTGCGATACAAACTAAATTCATTTTTAGTTGTGATGGCATCACACTGCTTAATCATGACGGCTTTGGAAGAAACTGAATATATCCGTATTGGGCTTCCCGATTTCGCAAAATCGCTGCCGGAATTAAAAAATATTTTCTTCCAAGCGTTTTCGCCTTCATTGTCGAGTCAATTATCTCGTTTATCTCGTTTTCTAAAGGTCCTTGAGAACTGAATAAGACAATATTTTATTAACGACAGCCGGAAAACCTGATTTATTTATTTTGACCAGATCGAAACAAAACTGACCTCTGAAATGGAAGAAGAACAGCCTTTTATTTTTGCCGGCTTCGGCCTGCCGACGCGATCGTGTCTGGTTTGCTTTCATACGATGACATTTTCCTGACAGAAGGGTGTCGGGAAAAACGTCTCGCGTGGATCATACGTGACAAAATCCGCCGCGCCTATGCTAATAAAGAAAAGTCTCCTGGAAGGCTCCGTACAATTCCTTATAATAAAATTATAAGGAATTGTATGGAGCTGTCTGGGATATTTACAGTGCAAGCCCTGTGTCTCTTTGCATGAGGGGACACAAATGACTTTTACTGGAAGTTCAATCCCACGCAGAGATGTTTTCTTCGCGGGCAGCTAATCCAACTTAATCCCATTTAATATGTCGCGCTCCTCGAAAGTGCGAAAATTTTTTTGTCGTGTATTAGGTTTCAGTATAAATTTTGTTAATCTTCATTTCGCGCCAGAATTAATTAGTTTGTGCGCAGAGGGCTTCTAAGAGAGGGCTTTGTGCGTTTGTGCGCAGAGGGCTTCTTCACAAGGTTTGTCCCACTTCAAGTCCACCTTCTGGAGATACGCCGGCTTGGTAGCTGGGATACATTCCCGAGGCGAAGATCTGGCATTCTTTCCTCCTCGTGGTTTTTTCTCCACGACATTTATTTATATTTGTAGTGAGAATGCGGTGCATATCGGTGGATTTTACTTCGTGCGGCTTGCTATTTATAAGAGAAAAGTGCCGGATTCCATCGCTTTGTTCGCCTTCAATTTGTTGTCGAATGCAAGGTAAAAGAACCGACAACTGTAAGGTAAGAATTGAAGTTTGTTTCCTGGCGAAAAATAGTGCATAGAACTCGTGAAACCCGTGAGTATAACCTCTGTTAGACCTAAGGTTATGCGATAACTCCTCGCTTTTTCGATGGATAACACGGATGCAAACAAAAGTTTCTTTCGCAAAATTAAGTATAATTTCGTTATCGAGACCATTTGAGGACGATTTTTTGTTATATGCTTCATTACTTGGCTTATTCCAGCTACGTGCGAGGAGTTGGGTGACAATGTTTGTGTGCTATGTAAATATGTTGATAATTTCTTGCACAGCTTTGCACCTTTGTATTGAAACTCATGAAAGCCAAACTTGTTTAACCCTAGCAAAACACTCTTCTATATGGAGAACTTTTTAACGTCTTTTGGGGCAAAATATGTTGTAACATTTAGGGAAAACAAAGCTCGATTTTTGGCGAAACGGACTGTAGCTTTTTTCTTTGAAGAGAGGGCGAGCCAAACGCGAGCTTTAGGCCCCGTGAGTACAGTGTAACCCGGTGATTCTTTAGGTAGAGCTAACAAACATAGGCTGCACTTTAGGTGGCGCACCCATGAGTGTAGTGTAACCCAGTTCTTCTTTAGGTAGAGCTAACAAACATAGGCTGCACTTAAGGTGGCGCACTCACGAGTGCAGTGTAACCCAGTGATTCTTTAGGTAGAGCTAACAAACTTAGGTTGCACTTTAGGTGGCGCACCCATGAGTGTAGTGTAACCCAGTGTTCTTAAGGTAGAGCTTACAAACATAGACTGTCCTAGGTGTACCATCAGATAGCAATGCGTTTTCCATAAAACATTGTGATGGTACATTATGCATGGCTCTTCTTCGACGACTTCTTTATCGCTAGATACATTGTTTTAACACACACTATTGATATCAGATCTGATTGACGCCTGGAGAGTTTTAAATCCTGACTCTTCCAGATTTACATGGAGACAGAAGAAGCCTGAAATCCAATGTAAACTTGATTTCTTTCTAATTGATCAAAGCCCTTTCTGTAATAGCGGGGCTCCCTCGCGCGCGAAGCGCGCGTGGGACAGAGCTCCATACTCATAGAACATGGTCAACCTCTTTTCATTTGGTTGTCACGTGACTGACCGAGCGTACGTACGTACGCGTCTACAGATTGTACGGGTAGGGTAGGGGAGACTATCAAAAGGAAGGGAGGGGTGTCTCAGGTGTGTCTTGGCAAACCCATATCTTTTATATTGGCCATTCACAATATGGTCAATTGAAAGCTGTCAAACAGGATAGCCACTGACCAGTCTCACATTGCCATATCGGGGGCTCATGTGTCAACTCATCAAGGTGACGTGATTTATTTGGAAGCTGTCCGCTGAGCAGTTGTTTTACTAGCTCGCAATCAATGTTCAATCTCATACTTTCGAGGTAGCTAATTTGAGAGCACAGGAAAACTGATAATGCACACGTCCATTGGACATCAATGTTGTGATCAATTGACAGCTGTCAAAACAGGGTATCCGCTGACCAGTATCACTTGACCGTATCGCGGGCTCAGGTGTTGACCCATCGAGGTCGAGTATTTTTTGAAGTTATCCGCTGACAAGTTAGTAGTTTTCAAATGATCGCGGGCTCAAGTTTGCTTGTTTTTTATTTCATATGAAATATGTTTTGTTTTTGTGCCGTACAATTAAAATATTGATTTAACTGACCTCGGACGCGAACATCCAGCCAGCTATTACAGGCGGGGAAGGCAGTTGCTTTTGACTTTGCTGACCATGGTCACGCGTTGGTCACGCTCTACGTCCAATTTTTACGCTCTGATTGGTCAAAATTTGACAGGTGAACTCATGCGGAAAATTTATGCAGCATCTTGAATCTTGTTTACTTTGACAGCTGAAGCTGACAGAGTTTTGTGTCAACTTGTGATGTTTTTAACTGTCTTTTTCCACTGGATGCACAAAATGAAATTCAGCTGCTATCAGGAATCTTCTGTTATTCATGGCTAGTTGGTTTTTGGTTGAGGAAATAATACATTACTTGTCAAAGTCGGAAATCCGATTTCGGATGGCATCGATTTCGCTTTTCACCTTGCTTGATGTGTAAGGGTTGAAAAGTATGAAGCGATACTGGCCTTCCTTGATACCTTTCAGGAGCTGCATGTCGAATGGTAAGCCTCAGTAATTATTGTGTTTTATGTTAGTTTTTTAAAACTAATTTAATGAAGTCGAGCGCAGTTTATGCCGCTATGTAGTTTGTGCACGTTTGTAAGATTTGAGACAATTTGATATGACCAAGAATCAGGTTTGATATAAGCTTACAGAACTTTAAAAAGCCTTTAGACATTTTCTCACCGCAAATAGAAAGAAAACGTTCCAAAAAACATTTAGTTATAATTCTGGCTGTAAAAGAAGGCTTTGAGCGATTTTCTTGCCTCGAGTTCATCTTTGACAAAAGTAAATATCGGGAAGCCGGCTTAAAACATAAACTTAAGCTTTCAAGTTAAGCTTGAAGACTCAGGATTTTTAGAGACACTTTAATACTTGTCTTCGTCAATGAAAAATGTTGTCTCTATACATGTTTCACCGAATTATATTTCTTTTATTGATTGTTGGTAGTCTCTCTTGTAATTTTAATCGCCGTGCCGTTTGTTTTCAGTTGTTCAGTGAACATCGCTTGCAGGAGTACTCACAGTGCCGCGGGTATCAAACCGGCGCTTTTAAAGATTACACATCGATAAAACCATTGAATAAAACTGAATAAACATAATAATTTCTTTATTATGTTGTAGCTTAACTCTAGTATGTTCGTTCAAACACTCGCTACAGTTCGCACTGCAAAGGTGAGAACCGGCTGGCCGTATATGATTTTGGAATTTTTTTTAACGGTTTAAAAAGCCCACGCGTGCTTCGATCGTCCTGAATATTGAATGAGTGCAATTTGCGTTGCAAAATTGTGAAATACTGCATTCTGTCCGAGGTCTGTATGATAAAAACAGTACCTCATAGTACTGTTTCACCTCAGATGTGATGTATAAATGGTATAAAAGGTTGGTTTACACGCACCCGGATTTGTTGGCAAGATTTTGTAAAGTAAACTTGTCGAACGCAAAAAAATTCGGCCTGATTTTTTTTCCAGGTCTAATTAATCTTACGGTGATCAAGAGCCATTATGGCTCCTAAATGTGATCGAATATGATTGCTATTTTTTGGGTGTACATATGAGACTATCAACTTGAGGTAAGATTTTGTTCACTCTTAGGCTGTTTGCAAATTATTTTTCTCTAAAATCACTCAGCCTTTCCCTCAAAAGTCACATGAATGTGCTACAAGTTTATTGTTTGATTTAAATTATAAATATATTAATGGGAGCCTCGCTTTTAGCCCTGGCTAAATCTATATATTATTATTAATACGGAGACGTTAGCAGGCTACAAAACAGATCATTCTATGATCACCTTACAAATTTCTTTACACTCCAACACTAGAGGTTGAGGTTTTTGGAAACTAAATACCTCCTTCTTATCTGAAACAGAACATGTCAACCAGATTAAGTCAACCATAGCACAAACTATCGATGAATATTTTCAAGATAACACTGTTGACCTTGGCCTTTTATGGTAGTTGGTTAAAATGAAAGTGAGAGAAGTATCGATTAAATATGGAACAACTAAGAAGAGAAATCTAAGAAAAGAGCAGGAGGAATTTAACTGAGATATCAATAACAACCTTAGAAGAACAGCTTACCCACTCTGATGTCAATGACAAACAAAAGAAACAAATATGGTGCGCTATTGAAGGAAAAAACGCAAGCTAGAGACAATAATTGAATACCAGACAAAGGGAGCGATGTTACGATCGAAGGCTCGGTGGTGCAATGAAGGCGATAAAAACACTAAATATTTCCTCAACCTTGAAAAGAGACACTAGAAACAAGCAACAATAACACAGCTTAAAGTTAGTGAAGGTGACTTTATTTCTTTAGACAAAGAGGTCTTACTTGAGTGTGAGCCAAGAAGAACAATCCCTTTGCGAAGGACCTCTAAGCAAAAAGGAATGTCTAGAAGCATTAAAAAGCGGGGCCTCTAAAAAACCCCAGTATCAGATGGTCTCCCTTGCGAATTCTACAAGGTTTTCTGGAATGATTTAGCCGAAATACTACTAAATGCGCTAATTTTTTCTTTCGAGACAGGACAATTTTCAATATCAAAAAGACGTGCATTGTCAAGCTTATTACAAAGAGAGATGCCGAGCTCATTCTCATTAAGAATTGGCGACCATTAACGCTGTTAAATTTTGATTACAAGATTGCATCAAAAGCCATTGCAAGTTGTATTAAAACTTTTCTTCCAAAGCTCATTTCAGATGATCAAACAGGCTTTGTTAAAGGCAGGTGTATCAGTGAGAATATTCGTTTGTTGGACAGTGTCATCAGATATACAGAAAGAAGAAACATTCCGGGCCTTCTTCTTTTTACTGATTTTGAGAAAGCTTTTGATACACAACTTTAAATCGTTAACGTCTCGTACTCATTCCTAAAAAAAGAGAAGGTTACGGATACTCTGAGCAGAGTCGTAGAAAAAGTAAACATAGAGATCAGACCTATTTTAAGATACTCAATGTTGGAGAAGGCGAACCTCACAACTCCAACAGCTATGGATTCGTCATTATGGGCTATAAATGAAAGCTGACAGAACGTCGACCAGTGATTCACGAAATCTTTAGATACTCTCAGCGAACGCTCTCTTTTCAAATACGGTTTTCCGTATTACTCTTAAGGTTAACTAAGTTTTGAATTTTTTAAAATAATTTCAGGCTGTAACACCCCGCTTGGTATGGAGAATGGTTTAATATCTGATGCTCAAATAAAGGCCTCTTCAGAGTGGGATAACAATCATGGTGCAGAAAGAGCTAGATTAAATTGGAGAAAGATTAATCTGAAAAGGGGAGCCTGGAGCTCTCGTTGCAATACCTTGGGTCAGTGGCTTCAGGTTGATCTTGAAAAATATACCACAGTGACAGGTCTAGCGACTCAAGGCCGGAGTGATGAGGACCAGTGGGTTACCAAGTACAGGCTGCAGTACAGTAATGATGGAGTGAACTTCCATTGGTACAAGGAGCAAACAGTTAATTCAGTAAAGGTGCGATGTAAACAAATAAGTAAATAAATAAATAAATCTATAATAAAATCCGATTTTAGCGGTAGAACAACCACAAAGTGGATCTTCATCTATTTACCTATTCCGAATGAAATTGTACCTTAAAAATGGTGGCTTTTCAGGGTGTGGGAAACTGGATAACTCGGTTAAAAAAAAAAAAAAAAACGAACAAAACGAGAACAAAATGAGATAAAAACAAACAAACAACAACAAAAACAACAAAAACAAAAAGCAGAACAAAACAAAAGCATCAAGCAAACTAGACCTATTTATTAGCGAAGCCTCAGGGATTCGAGTCGAGGACTCGTTGGTGAGAAGCGAATTCGACTCAGCACTTCTTGTAGCAGCTATATAGTTATTATCGTTCTCCTTTTTGCGACTAAAACTTTGCATTAAAAACAATCCCAGTCGCTGTCCGTATTACACTTCAGAAGGGCCGGCAAAGAACACAGAGAACCCGAACGCTATATTCGCTTTAGCTGTGTATGAAATACGTCTCAAGTTTCCAGTATTTTTAACTATTAACTCTCCTAGGTTAGGAGGAAAAACCGTTGATTGAATTGAAACCCTAGATCGTCTCCCAAAGAGAGTTAAGAGCGAATGCACAGAAAAATCGAGCAAAATCGGCAAATCGTGGCCACAGCTCAAAACCTAACTTACCCTCATTTTCAGTCTGTAATAAGGTTTTAATGAGTTTTTAACACTGCTGAGGTTTAAATTTCAAAATGCGACCGAGTTTGGGAATTATTTGAGATTTTCGATTTCAACGGTCAGCGGGCCTAAAATTAGCCGCCGAACTCGGGAAAATAGCCCAGTGACAGAATTGAGCTGTTTTTTAAAAACGAGCGAATATATTGGCAATCTTCCACTTAAATCTCAAAAAGCAGATATCTAGCAATTCCTGAACGGCACATTTTTTAGATTTAGAGAATAGAATATCGACGAACCAGCAGAATTTTGAAACGTAATTTACATAATGCTTATAAATACAACAATTTACCGCTAAAACCAAAATCGAATTTTCTATATGGGGGAATTCTCCAAATCACCCCAAATCCCGCTTACTACCTAATGAGATATGGTACTTCAACATTATCTGAAAGTTAGTCTGGTGTTCTTGCGAACGCTTGTAAAATAGACTGATTATTTTGAGGTTATTTCGCCCCAAACAACCGCTAATTCACCCCAGGGTCAATTGACACGTGCACGTCACCTTAGTTTTATGCGTCGATTTGAGCTCGTTAAAAGGGAGAAACTAACAAGATTCTTTTAATATGTACCTGTTTTAATGAAATACACGCAATCTTCAAAAGGAGAGGCCGTTCAATAGGTAATTTCTGTTCTTGAGATCTTGTAGATTGCAGCATGGCGTCTGCGAGTGGACCTGAGTCTAGGTCTGTTTTCCCGTGGCTGCGAAATCAGAATAACATCAAGAAATAGTTCTCCCTCGAATCTTCGTAAGTGAATCAGCTTTGCAGTGCCTTACCTGCGATAAAAAGTGGGCCGAAAAGCAAACATTTCTAGCGCAATTTGGATCCTTTGTGGAACGCAGTGCATTGCAGAGAGAAAGGTGAGTAAACGTGGGAAAGTACGTTACCTTTGATTGCGTGACCAGCCAGTAAACGATAGTCTCCAGCGAAAAATAGGATTCGCAAAAATCTTGCTGATGTATATTTAACAGTTTTTTACTATAAATTTACACCTGGTTTGTCTAAAACTTTAAACAATGCATATCTGTCCAAGAGTATAACAATGTTTCGAAAGATCCACCCCTAAATAACTGTGGGCTACTCCTTTTTCCCCATCACCGATGTGCACTTCCTTCCCACTGTCTTTTGCATGAGGCTTGTATGCCTTTTTAAGTGTTATCGACACTTAAAACTGGCCGTTTAAGGCATGGTTTAAGAACTTGACTTAAAAAACCGTCGCGAACATGCGCTATTATTGTTGGACTTTGGAAGCTTTAAGCCCAAAATAATGGTGATCTCGAGAAATTTGCCCGGGTCTAATTATAAGACAGGGAACGGGTACTAAGAAAGGGACGGTCTCATTTAGCAACCCGTGGACAATCTGGGCATGCTTGCCTTCTGTCGCAGGGGCAACCGTTAAGGCCAGGTACGCCGCCCCCACCCGAGAGGATTGCATGGCATCCACCATTTCAGTCGCTTTTTCTACATCATAACCTTCAATTATCATGAATTATAATGAGGGCCTTGATCGTTGCCACCTTACCATTGACTTTTCCTTGCTCAGCTTCCGGTAAACCGATACTCCGAAGCAAAAATAGCTTTACAACGACTCTATCCAGGCCAAAACTCCTGATATCAACAAATATACCCCCCTAAAGAGAGCAAACGTTCCCCGAACAATTCACCTGACCCACCCCATCCCTTCGTTAAGAAACACTACGCACTCAGTTCACTGGACAAAACGCGCTCGTGAATATACCAAACTATAGCCGTTCACCCTACAAGCAATCTTATTTTCAGCAGGCGTGGCCACGTTTCCAGTTGCTGTAAGATTAATTCGACACCTGCAACAGACACTGTAAATTAAATAGCAGCCACAACGCCCTTTTTTGAAACAGTCAGGACGAGAAAGTTTATAAAAGACTTAACAGGTGTGCGCGGCGGTTTCCTATTCTTCCTTCCCTCCCATTGTAGCACTCAAATTCTGACCCTGTTATTAATTCTACTAGTAATCAATCGTTCTTGAACCTATAGGCACAAGGATACTAGTTTCTTGCAAAATATGCCTTCGGCCGCTGATTAGGTTTTGTTCTGTGCTTTAAAATAACTTTAGGAACGAAACATGATACGTGAGGGGAGTGTCCGGCTAAGGGCAAGTGACTGTCGGTGGTGAAGACATATACTGAGCTTGTCAGTATTTCGTAGCCTGTACCACGTCGCGAAAATAGAACAAGCCAAAGAAAAATAAGACGCCTTTCTTTCCCCAGCCCCCGCAGGTTTTTCGCATTACTTTTTACTGCACAACTGATTCTACCTTTTCGAGCCGGAGCGAACATGGACGCCCTTGGGGTTAAGTTTCCACTTCATTTTCGGCACCTGACTAAACGCAAGCGCTGACTTGTGCGCCTATACTTCGTTTGCACTGAAGTAGGAGTATATGACCACGACAGACTTGCTGCTATCCTTGGTTTGAAACCGCAATGGGCAAGAACAATTTCTTGAAAACGGCAAACTATTTACTTTTCCTCCTTAGTAGACATGGAGAACATTTACTAGGACTTAAGCAATTCCATTGGTTAAGTCCTACTAGACTTGAGAACAGAAAGCATGATGCTTTCCCTTTTTAACGATTTACGGCTAAACAGTACAATTTCATGTAGCTTTTACGCAAAATTAAATACTTAGTTGTTTGCAGAATTGCATTTAACAACAAATTACAGAAATTTAACTAAGTTTAGATCTCATAGATAAGAATTGAACGGAAAAAACTTTTGGTGTAAGAAAGTCAAAAAATAATGTTTGCTGGAAAATCACTTAATGGACGTACAATAGCAGAGATATCATGCCTGTAATTTTCTGTTCAATGCACCTTATGACAAGTCTGACTAATTCACTGGTAACCCATGCCTTAAAACCGCCTTGAATCTTAAAATTTAATCAATTTGCCTTTCATGCGTAGTGGTTGGGGGTAAAATCAGAAGAACAGAACATTCAGTTAGTATGTTTGCTAATCATCTTAGTTAACCGCCTTTAAAATAGGACAAAAGAACACCTGGTCATACAGGAAAATGAATTTACTGTATCCCGAAAGCTTTGGTTTCCCGTGCACTTATTTTTCGCAGGAGACAATAGATAATTGCCTGGTCACGCAATCGGAGGTTAGTAGCTAATTTTAAAAAAGTCATTGATACCATCGCCGCTTAGCAAATACACTACGTGCTGCAAAGGATCCAAATTGCGCTTATAGAATGTTTTCCTACTGGCCCACTTTTTATCTCAGGTAAGGCAATGCAAAGCTGATTCATTTACGAAGGTTCGAGCGAGAATTATTTCATGATGTTATTCTGATTTCGCAGCCACGGGAAAACAGACCTAGACTCAGGTCCAGTCGCAGACGCCATGGTACAATCTACAAGATCTCAAGAACAGAAATTACCCATTTAACGGCCTCTCCTTTTGAAGATTGCGTGTATTTCATTAAAACAGGTACATATTAAAAGAACCTTGTTAGTTTCTCCCTTTTAACGAGCTCAAATCGACACATAAAACTAAGATGACGTGCACGTGTCAGTTGACCCTGGGGTCAATTAGCGGTTGTTTGGGGCGAAATAACCTCAAAATAATCAGTCTATTTTACAAGCGTTCGCAAGAACATCAGACTAACTTTCAGATAATGTTGAAGTACCATATCTCATTAGGTAGTAAGCGGGATTTGGGGTGATTTGGAGAATTCCCCCATATAGAAAATTCGATTTTGGTTTTAGCGGTAAATTGTATGTATAAGCATTATGCAAATTACGTTTCAAAATTCTGCTCGTTCGTCGATATTTTATTCTCTAAATCTAAAAAAATGTGCGGTTTAGAAATTGTTAATATCTGTTTTTTGAGATTTAAGTGGAAGATTGCCAATATATCCGCTCGTTTATGAAAGTCAGCTCATTTCTGTCGCTAGGCTATATTGCCGTGTTCGGCGGCTAATTTTAGGCCCGCAGACCGTTGAAATCGAAAATCTCAAATAATTCCCAAATTCGGCCGCATTTTGAAATTTAAACCTCAGCAGTGTTCTAAATTCATTAAAACCTCATTACAGACTTAAAATGAGGGTAAGTTAGGTTTTGAGCTGTGGCCACGGTTTGCTCGATTTTTCTGTGCATTAGCTCTTAATAGTTAACTTGAGATGTATTAACTGCATGTCGTGTCCTATTTGCGACGATCCAGACAAGCAAGTATTTGATACCGGCAATGTTAACCGTCTCTAATTGGATCCAAATCCCTTCCAAAACGGCTCATAAAGACTCAGGAAACACAGGTAAATAACGACCGACTATTTCATGTCCATCCGAACACAGCGTTCGGGTTTCCTGTCCAAAGAATAAAGTATATCAGTATTCATTAAAAATATTTCCCCAATTCCGATTGGCTAAAAGCACACGCGTAATTAACCATAACCAGTTACTGATGACAAAATTTGGAAGGATTTTGTGTTTAACGAGGAAATGACGTCACAAATGCAGCCCGCTACAGGTTAAAGCATCTTTACCGAGAAGACCTGAGGACTAGGTCGAGTTGTTTTGGTTGTTAAAAAAAATGACGGACATTTCACTCGTTTCAAGAGTAAGAACTACAGCTGGAACTAGGCGAAATTATAGCAACAAACATTGCAAAAAACAGCAAGAAGACAACTCGGGGGGGGGGGGAGGGAGTGGGGCGACGTCTGCTACTTGGAGAATATTTGCGGGGCTGGACAAACCTAAACATACTCTATCGAAGAAGAACTTAACATCGATGCAGGTAAGCATGTTTTAGCTATGTTTTTCAACTAGGATTTATTTTGAATGAATAATAATAATATACACTTAATGTCAGATCCCGAGGGAAACAATTAGTTTTGTTTTCCCGAGACTCCTGATGTTTCCCTCGACTTCGTCTCGGGAAACATCAGGACTCTCGGGAAAACAAAACTAACTGGTTTCCCAAGGGACCTGACATTAAGTGTTTTGTTATATTTCCAGACTTTCACTTCAAGAGAAACACAAGAATAACCGGAGCGAACCAAAACAGTTGACTCGGTACTTATAACAACACAAATTTAATTCTCAATCCCACTGAATGAATGATTTACAAAGTACCTTGCGTATATTATCTGAGTCATTTTCCCCCACTAACTGCTGTTGTTCTCCAGGGAACTTCTTGGATAACTTTAAAAATCGTTGCTTTTTAGCTTGAGGATTCCTGTTTGTGTTGTTGTGTTCATTCACGAAAAAGAAAACTGGCAGGACCTGGCAGTGTTTTTCCCGCCTTTTGTCACGCCACTTTCCACCACGCCTTGATCACGTGATGTAATGCAGCCCGAGCGGGGTACATTGTAGCCTGCGAGCAAGCCTCGCGAGAACGCGCGAGCGAGGGGCCGACGAAAGGAGAGCTTGAAACGATCTCTCATAAACTTTCATTTCCTGAAAATTGTCACCGCAAACGTGCCGCAGATTAGAAAAGTGACAACCGCCTGTCAAGTAAGTTTAGACAGCCGAGGGCGCGTAGAATTATTTATTTATAAATCGCTTTCGCAACAGCATCAAAGCAATGTTTTCAATGCTGATATGTTTTTTTTTTTTTCATGGGGACATTGAACTTCAACGTGTCCGCTCGGACAAGAACTCACTACTTTGATTCTCGTTTCGTTTACTTTTGAAAAGTCGTCCACGCTGCAGTGTAGAAGACTACTCCCCATCGCAATCACCAACAAAAACATCATATATTTGTCTGTCTGGACCTGGAGAATAGCGTTTTCCTACACTTGGTTTTCATAAGTTTTACTCCAGTTGCTTCTAACTCTTTCTCCCTTCCTTCTTTACGGTGAAGCTACACAGCTACACTGTCAAGTACATGTTTCTGAATTTTTCTACGCAGTAGTATTTAATCGGGCGAAGAAACCGATGTTGGAAGACAGCGCTTGAATTACTCTTTACTTTCACTATCCCGGTTCCCAGAACTAAACAAGGCGCTTGACACAAACGAAAACAACTGATGAAGGGTTTTCATTTCCTTCCACAAGAACTACAAACTCGGTCCGACTTATCCTCGGCTCGCAATATTCTCTTTGCGAGAATTCCATCAAATGAGCCCGTCTACTCTGAGGGCTGAAACAAGTCTGATCCCCCTGAGAACATCATCATGCCCTTGCAATAGCTGCTAAAGCCAACAGGATCTTGGGTCTACTTAAACGCACATTTGGCAGGTGCTCTGAAGCAATAATAACTGGATACAAAACAATGGTTCGTCCTAACATCGAATACGCATGTCCCGTTTGGAATCCACATCAAGCCTACCTGTCAGACAAACTTGAAAGAATCCAAAGAAATGTCTCACGCTGGATTCTTGGTGGACCTATTGATTATACCGAACGTCTGCAATACCTTGGTTGGATGGAACTTAAGTCCCGTAGGGAATATCTATCGATAATTCAATTATTTAAGTTTATTAATGGTTTCTCGAGAGTTAAGCTTGACAATTATTTATCTTTCTCTCGTGCTAGCACTAGATCAAGAAATAGTAGGAAGATTTGGAAACCTTTTTCAAGAACTAATATTTTAAAATTCTCTTTCTGGCGTAGATATATAGATACATGGAACTAGTTACCAGATTCTCTAATATGTGCCGATTCATTGTCAAAATTTAAAAAGGGCTTAAGAGAACACTTTTTAACTAGTACGTAATGAACATAAAATTGTTGCGATTGCATATCTAATTTGATAATTAAATAACTTTAATTACTCCATTATTAATAGATATATTTTAGTGATATCTTTTACATTTCTTCATACATTATAATAGTCTTTATCTGACTTATATTTCCTTAATAGCTTTGTAGATATTTTTAGGGGGTCATCTTACATGAGGATTCAGTTCCTCCCTGATGGCAGCCTTTTTGTATTGATTATTACAAATAAAGTTGTTATAATAAAATAAATAAAGAAAAAACCAAATTTGACACACAGACAAAGCGGGTGCTAGCTTGGCCTGTTATCAATCAGCTTTGATTTGCGGAACGTCATTTTTCAGCCGATGGTATTTCCCTTCGTCTGGGCGAAGGACAGAAGAAATTTTATGAGGGATCGTTGCAAGTTCTCCTTTCCTCTGCCCCTCGCTTCACTCGCCCAAATAGGAGAGCTTGCTCGCAGGCTAGGTACATTGCTTAATGTATCACGATCGGGATACTGATTTGATTTTAGTCAAGGCCATGTGACCAAGAATCAACCAATATCAGTCCCAGTTTAGTTGAGTGAAAGTCTAGGAATATAACAATTAGCAATTAATGAATGAGGCTGATTACTCAAAGAATTTGTGCAGTTATTCTTTACTTTTACGATGTTTGGATAGTTTTTTGACGGAAATTATGACAGAAACACTATTGTTTACCAAAACCTGAGCTGGCCAATCAGAACGCGCTACGTACGGATACTGCCAGAGGCTTGGGTCAGACACATGTCAATGAGAATGGAACTCTACGGCTGTCCAGGTATTTTGAAATAAAGAGTAATCCCTTCTTTTAAGGACTTATCGACTCACAGTTGGCAAATAAGATAAGTCAACATTCAGGATCCTTTTTGGAGACATACATGCCTCACTCCAACTACAACTTATTGGTATGCAAATTTTATGTAAGGAATAAGCTGAATACCAATACTTTTAACTACAATGTATTTTTTCGTTCAGAAAATAAAAACTTATTAAATAGGTTAAAATAGTCTAAATTTGCCCCCCTAGTTAGCATTTATGTAAAAACCTGTTTATGCTAACTTGGCAAAATGCAGGTTCCTACTCACGGGTTTTTACTGTAATCCATCAACTTTAGGACTTGTCGACTTACGGTCCTTACACTTCAGTGTATAATGGAAACCCAAGTCGTAAAGCGGCCAAGAGAAGAATTTAAATCATTTTTAAAGATAAATTAAACAAAAATCACATCGATAACAAAACACGTTACTTTCTTTCAAGTCTTTCGTCTCAGTAAGGCGTTCATGCTATTAATGATCTTTGTTACTGGTAGCTTGTGAAGATCCTCTTGGAATGGAAAGTGAGGCAATTTCCGATTCTCAAATAAGCGCATCGTCACAGTTCGATGACGACCACTCTGCAGCACGTGGCCGATTGCACTTCAAAACAGAAAAAAACAAAGATGGAGCATGGTCAGCTCTTAGAGGTGATGAGCACCAATGGCTTCAGGTAGATTTCCGTAGTTATACTACAGTGACACGTGTTGCGACTCAGGGAAGATACTACCACAATGAGTGGGTACTTAAGTACAAAATACACTACAGTGACGATGGATTGACCTTCCAAGAGTACAAAAAGCCAGGAAACAAACTCACCAAGGTAATAATCTGTCAAGAGAAGCTTTTAGCAGAAGTTTCTGATAAATGACACTCTTTCATGTGTTTTGCTTCGAGTACTCGGTTCTGGGAGCGAGCGGATTTTTACGATCTCGCCTGCTAACCCGGGCGGTTCGTGATGTCGCCTCATTAGCTTTACCCTAAGCTGTAAGTAGCGCAAGATTGCTTTTATGTACTGTTTACTCGACATGTTTGCTCTGTTTGTAGTTTTGTTATCCGTTTTTGCTGTCTGAATCTAGATTCTGCCGGTTTTCATTGAATTTTGCCTCGCTAGTTTCCAACTTTTCAAAAGTTTGTTGTCGGTGATTGCATTTAGCTCTCAATCTTAAGTAATCAACACGAACAACTTTTCCAGCACTGAGTCGGTAATCGCTGTTTTTCAGTTCTTTGTTTATATACTTTTATTACCGAAGAGAGATTAAAGTATACGCTTTTTTTGTTGACTTTAGAAAAGCCTTTGACACTTTCTGGCATGACGGACTTTTATATAGATCATTACAAATTGGTGTAGGGGGATGTTTCTATAAGTTAATCAAAAACCTATATTCAAACTCTTCGTGCGTATTGAAAATAGATGCGAGTCAAACAAGATCTTTTAGCTATTTACGAGGCGTACGCCAGGGCTGTATTTAAACCGCTTACTTTTCAATTTATACGTTAATGACTTACCGTCCGCATTTCGAAATCCTTTGTCGGATCCTATTATCCTTCCAAATGGTACCTAATTAAATTCGCTTTTATATGCTGATGATTTAATTATTATACTCGATCTAAAATAGGATTACACAACTGTCTCAACACACTATCCTCTTTTCGCAACTCTTGAATGTTAGATATAAATTCCAAAAAAAACAAAGTTATGATCTTTCAAAAACGAGCGCAGCAAAACTGCAATCTAGAATTCCATACAGGTGAAGAAACCATTGATATTGTCCATGAATATACATGTTTAGGAACCCGTATCTCCTCAACCGGTAATTTTAATATCTCACTCGAACACTTGAAAGAGAAGGCTTTTCATGCTCTTTTTGGTTAAGAAAACACACAAACTTTAGCAAATTAAAACCTTCTCTTGCTTGCAAAATATTTGAAGCGATGATTTCCCCAATAATATCATATAATAGCGAAATTTGGGGTGTATATGTAAAACATGACTTTAAGGTGACTCGACCCATGTTTTTTTTTGGGGGGGGGGGTACCATCCTACTTTGAATCTCTCTGGTATCCCCACCTTTACTTTTGTCGTAAGTCTAACACATAGAATGGATAACATATAGATCAATCTACAATATAACATAATATTTTTGGCGATCGGAGTAAATGTCACGTGGTTATAATGCCACGCCCCTTTGAGGTCTGAGTCGAAAATCTGCTGTCGCCGGCATTTTTTCGTAAAAATCTCTCGGCTACACATAGTGCGCATTAGTGCCTTGCGCTGAACAGAGTTTCACCAAAATCGCAAAGACCTAATTCGAGAAATTCAGCGGTTTCCAAATTTAGCTCATAATTTATGCGAAAATGATAAGCAAACTTTACACGATTATATCTAATAAACTATGAGATTCATCCCTTTTTTGGGGGCATCGTTATAACAGATGGGTCCTTGCAAGTCAGCAAAACGCTTTAGGGCCTTGTGAATACGCGCAATTTCGAGCAAAGCAAACATATAGAAATTACAGTTTTCGCTATTTGTTGACGTTTGTCAGCGTTTAAGAGTCCTTCTCACGAAAAAAGCATTTTCTTAAAAATTCGTAGTTTTCTTTTCCTTCAAATTTTTTTAGGGCCACAATTGATTAAGTAACTACCCGGGCTCTGAATTTCATGGTCATTGAAAAACTGTGACATTATCTTCTATAAGCCCAAACTTGAGTAAACATTGAAGATATTTAGCGTTTTGGCTGAGTTTGTGCTTTGGGAGTTGTCTATTGTTTCTAGTCTGTCATGATACAACATTCTTGTTCAGCAAGCGTGCAATGACCCGCTTGGCTGACTTTCGAAATGCTCACCGAGATATGATAATTTAGTATAAGAAAATAGAAGGGATTCCCGTCACGAGTTGGTTTAATTATTGGCTTGCATTAAACCTATGATAAAATGATATTTTTTTAATAGTAAGTAGATTTAGTGTGTAGCACCTCTTGATTTTTTTGCAAAGGCACAAGAAGCAGGAGAATTGATTAAAAATTGTGAGTTAAACCTCTGTGTATCACGCGATGGCCTGTCTCACTGTACCAAAATTATCATCTCAGTGAGCATTCAGTTAGTTAATCAATTGTGGCCCTGAAAAAATGTGAAGGAAAAAAACTACGAATTTTTAAGAAAACGCTTTTTTCGAGAGAAGGACTCTTAAACGCTGACAAACGTCAACAAATAGCAAAAACTATAATTTCTATATGTTTGCTTCGCTCGAAATCGCCCGCATTTACAAGGCCCTAAAGCTTTTTGCTGATTTGCAAGGACCCATCTGTTATAACGATCCCTAAAATAAAGTGATCAGTCTCATATTTTATAACATATAATCGTGTAAAGTTTGCTTATCATTTTCGTATGAATTATGACCTAAATTTAGAAACCTCTGAATTTCTCGAACTGGGTCTTTGCGATTTTGGTGAAACTCTGTTCAGCGCAAGGCACTAATGCGCACTATGTGTAGCCGATAGATTTTCACGAAAAAATGCCGGCAACAACAGATTTTCGACTCAGACCTCAAAGGGGCGTGGCATTATAACCACGTGACATTTACTCCGATCGCCAAAAATGTTATGTTATATTGTAGATTGAACTATATGTTATCCATTCTATGTGTTAGACTTACGATAAAAGTAAAGGTGGGGATACCAGAGAGCTTCAAAGTAGGATGGTACCCCCCCCAAAAAACTGGGTCGAATCACCTTAAAGCCTGGGACAATACCCCAATTGAAAAAAAACCCACTTGAAATTTTGCAGGCGTTACCTAGAAATAAGCAATAAAGCTTTAAATGTTGCAAGTAGACGTGAATTAGGACGATTGTCATTAATTATTAATATTTACAAAACATCACTTCATGTAAGTCGGTGTCAAATGTCACAATAGATCTTTCACAACTTGACTAGTTTGAATAGCCTCTTAGTTATGTAAGCCATCCGTATGAGTACGATTAGATTGACAGCCGTCAAAATCAGACATCCGCTGACAATTATCACATGACCATCTCGCGGGCTCAGATGAAAGACCAGTCGTTTTGTCCCTACATATAAGCTGATATAATATGTCACACTTAACCAATTCAACATAAAAACGAAACTACAATCGCTTTTGACTTTTCTCACTGTCACGCGTTGATAACGCTCTACGTCCAATTCTTATGTTCTGATTGGTCAAAATTTGACAGGTGAGTTCATGCGGGAAATTTATGCAGCGTCTAGAAACTTGCTTACTGATAGCTGGAGCTGACAGAGTTTTTTTTTTCATCTTGTGATGTTTTAAACTGTCTTTTTCCACTTGGTGTACAAAATGAAATACAGCTGCTATGAAGATTGTTCTGTAATTCATGGCTGGTTTGTTTATTGCGCTTTTTGTTTACAAATGCACCGCTTGTCAAAGTCATTGGAAATCCGATTTCGGATGGCATCGTTTTCAAAAATGAGCTTACTCACCTGCCCTTGCTTGAGGCGTAAGAGGGTTGAAAAGTCTCAAGATATTCTGGAACACTTGATGGCCTTCAGAAGCAGCATCTTGACTGGTAAGCCTGAGCAATTATTGTCTTTGATGCGTTTTTTTTTTTTCGGTTTCCTGAAGTCGAGCGCATGGTTTATGCGGCTACGTTTATACACGAGCAATGATCTAACCTTCAATAGTATCAGGTTTAAAAAGCCTTTCGAAGGTTTCGAAGATTATTTAGTTATGATTTTGGCTGTAAACAGAAAGCTCCGAGCAATTTTCTTGCCTCGAGTTCATCTTGAAAAAGAGCAAACACCGGGAGCCGGCTTAAAACATAAAAAAGCTTATGCTTACCTGACTCATGATTTTCAGAGACACTTTACTCTCAATACTTCTCTTCGTGAATGAAAATCATTGTCTCTGTACATGTTTCACCGAATTATATTTATTTTATTGATTGTTAGTAGTCCCTCTCGTAATTTTTATCGGGCGTTGATAAAACTCGGAACATGGAACATTCCGGAACATGCCAGAACATCCCGGAACATCCCGGAACATCCTGGAACATGAAAAAATAAAAATAATTTTCATGAAAAAAATATTATTAATAGTAATAATATTAATAATAATAATAATAATAATAATAATAATACAAAACTTTATTCATAGATTTAAAAAAAATAGACTATTTACAGATTCAAGAATATGAAATATTAAAATATATACCCTATGTACATTTTTCTTGTGTACGAAAGAGAATTGTCGTAAAATGACCATCTAAAGACTACTAATAACAATTATAAAAAGCATAAAAAAGTTAATAAAAAAATAAAAACTATTTAAAAATAATAATTCAAACTGATAAAAAGTTACTTCTTAAATTCTGGCTTGCGCACTTTCCGATGTAATGTCAATGTCAGATATATTGGCTGCTCTTCTCTTGCTCCTGGTTCCTCTGAGACACAGAAAGGCTGATCGTAGGATGGCAAAGGATACTTTCGCCCTTATCCAAGATACGGTTGTAGCATAGTCATCTCCTTTCTTTAACGCAAGTAGCTCTGCGAGGGGGCTATGGAATCTCTTGCATTCATCGGCCATTCCACCTGTGCTTGTAAAGACTAATGGTGTGAATGTCCCTTGCTCCACTTCCAAAAACCGCTTGTCGTATTGCCTCTTCTTCTCATTTTCATGTAGTTGGAATATCTGTTTCGGAGACAGTTCTCGATTCGAATCTGCGTTTGGATGGCACACCCGAACATCGAAGAACGCAGATTGCGGTCTGTCCCAAAACCCGCGAGCGTGAACATCTAGTCGGGCATCAGGCGCTTTGTTTGCGCCTCTAT